ACACACACACGCAAACACATACATATACATACGTGTGCATACACACACACACACACACACACACACACGCAAGAATGAACATACAAACAGACATGTACGAGAAATGAACAGATAGACATGCGTGAAAGACATACGTTCATAAATAAAACAAACAAGCATGAAACGTGGAATAATATCTGAAAATTTTGGTGAAATATTTTCATTGGTAAAATTTAAGTGTAATTTTTTAGATGGCTTTTGTTTTTTTTTTTTTCATTTAAAGTTTTAATGTTTAGTCATTCGTTCTAATTCTTTGTACGATGTTAGTTTAAAATTTCATTTATCAAAATGTAATATATTTTGCATTTTATGGAAAAGAAAAATGATTTATTAAATTTTTGCTATATTAAATGAATTAATGAACTAATTTTAATTAATAAGATAGTATTAATAATTGATGGGTAAATGAAAACTAGCATTAGTTCATTTGATAGTAGAAAGATAAGATAAAATAACATTGATAAGATAATGCAATCATGATTGCTATTCGATTTAATTATTTTTTTTCTTAATTTCGTCTTTAAAAAAAATTTTTGTTGTTTCAGGTTTTTTTTTTCAAATGAAAACTGAAAAATATCGTCAATACAGGAAAGATTGATTGGAAGAAGTGAATGTTGTGGAAAGAATTCAAAATTTGTCCGTTTGTTTTTAATTTATTTAAAATTTTCAAGGTGTTTAAAGTAATAAACAGATCAGATTCCTGTTACAGAACAATATACAGAATGATATAATTCATGAAAATTTGTTATACGAATACAATTACATAAGATTTTTTTTTTTAATCTTGTTTACGTTTAGATCGGATCATCACGTGATATTTTTGAATTTATAATCGTTTTTTTGACATTCGAAAAGATTTGTGGAAGTTATTGATTGTTTTCGTGTGATTTGCTTTCAGTTCGTATGTGCTGTGAGGATAAATCTTTAGAGAAAAAAAAAGATTATTAAAGCAGTTATGCACACCACTGATATGATGATAAGGTAGGAGTAATTTTCACGTACGTGAATGCTCAAATTCAAATTATATATTACACCTGTAAATACTAAATCATGGGTTATTAAGTACAGGAGAAAAAAGCGCTAAGTCATATATTATAAGCGTAAATATCAAATTGCTTATTACGTATGCAAATGGATGATGTGTAGTCCATTTTACAGTGTCTATTTTGATTATTTCTTTAAAAAATTAAATTTATTTCTTGTAAAATGAAACGCGTGAAGAATTTCACATAAAAATGTGCTACACTTTAATTGAGGATTTCATTATGTAAGCAAATATCGGCATTTTTAGGAAGATTATTTTTAGCCATTAAGAAATTACTGGGTAACTTAGCTGAATAGTTGGATTATTTCATGCAATATTCATTGATAATGGTAAATGAGTGTAGACATTCATAGTGATAAGTGAGTGTATATTTGTTATCAATTAATTGAAATTATGAAAATTAAGAATAATATGGTGATGTAAATAAGCAAATCGTTAAGAATAATAAAGTGATGCAAATAAGCAAATCACTTGTAAATAAACAGTTACAGTTACAAACATTCTTTTTCAAAGAAAAAAGAACAACAGTAGGAAAGATTGTTACGATCACTAACTGTTTCATAGGCAATGATGTATGAATCATATCCTGATTCTTCTTTTCGAAATGCTATCAAATAATTTACGGTCATGTTATCTGTTAATATTATTAATGTTTTTAGTTATTAGTTATTAGTATTATCATTACTAGAGCTATTTTGTTATTGATTAATGTAGTTAGTATTATTATTTGTTTTGAAAGAAGCACAGAAGATGAAGGGGTAATATAAAAATCAAATTTCAAATATGCAAATGAATATGAATGATAGTTTTACACTTTTCAAATTAATTAACTAAACAAGGAAAGCATGCGGATAAATGAATAGATATAGCGAGTGTATTGCTTTAGTTACGCTTAAAATATTCGTATTACAAATAAATTTCTTAGCTGTTATTTTTGCATTACTTTTTCTCATTTATTGTTTTAGTAAAACATTATAATTTTAACAAATTTAGCATAATTAGTTGCAATTTTAGATAAAAATTGGATATATTCATATAATGTGACAAATTGTTTTTCTATGTGTGGAATAAATTTGTACACCTATTGAAAAATCTAAATTGTATGTTTGTTCTCTTATTCATTAAATGTTGTTCAGTGGAATTAGTTAAGCAGGTTAAAATTCTAAAATTGTTATATTGAATAATGGATTTGTTAATCCTTATTATTCAATCACTGACCGCTACCAGAGGTGGCATTTTACATGATTCTTATCACTCAGACATTACATGATTCTTGAATTCTTGTTACTTAAACATCATATAATTCTTGGTTAAGTTTAATGCAATTTATTTCAGTTCAAGAGAATGTATATCTGGTCAGCATCATTGTTAGTTATTCTCTTCTGCTGGATAGATGTTATTATTTCGGTGATCGCTTTTGGCTTCTATCAGATATCATTCAAATTTGATGTTCAAATTATTTGGAATTATTTGGGATTTAATATACCCTATAATTTTATCACTTCTCCTATTGATTTCTTATTATTTACTGCTTTTCGACTTCTCGTGATGCTGATCTTTATCGTGCTCAAAGTCAAACATGAACATCCATGGCTTGAAAAATTTTTCGTACCGCTTTTGGGAGTATTTATCTTGCATTGGACGTTTTCATTGGTGAAATTACTTGCATTCTCGGAAAAAATCGAGCAGTTTGCTTATTTCGGGTTTTGGCTAAATATCGTTTGGAATGTGGTAGCCGCTGCACTAATTATATTACTATGGAATTTTGTATTGCGTATTAAAACCTCATGGGATTATCAATCGTTGGCGGGTGAAAGACATGATTTGACATCAAGATTGCAAGAGACTAAAAAAGAATTCAGTCGTTCCGGTACCGGTCAACATATTTTGCGATTGCTTCAATACTGTAAACATCAGTGGATATGGTTCTCAACGGGATTCATTTTCCTAATCATCTATTCTTCATGTATGAATTTGTAGCTATCAAATTTTAAATTTTGAATAGTATTGTTTTGGAGGATGATTTAGATACTAAATTCATGCTTTTTCCAGGTCGATTTGGTAGCATGCATTCATCATACTATAATATTTAGCTTCTATTTTTCTTGAATTTTAGTTATACTTTGAAATAGGGATTAAATACTAAAGTCTAGCAAATTAAATTTCGCTGTACATTTATTTAATGACATAATTATTGGATAAAATTCGGAATCAATTAGCTAAATTAAGAACATGCTAAAAATGAAATCTAAAATGAATTTATTTAAGCGCGGGTATTTTTACCACATTGCATCGGTCAGGTACTTTCAAATATTGTTGAAGGTCGAGGTGTTGCTGTTTTAGTCCGTTCTGTGTTGCTTATGTCAACTTTAACTTTCGTAAGGTTTGCATTTTGTCTTTAAGTTTTCCACTTACATTTCGTTATTTTGTCTCATGGAGATTTTATTGAAATTTGAGAATTTTTATGTCGACTTTTAAAGTAAAACTTATGACCAGGTTCATAAATCGTTTGAATTTCAGTACAGTTACGGCTGGTCTTCGAGGTGGAAGTTTTACTTACGCTACAGCATTGGTGAATCGTCAGATGCGCTATGATTTATTTAGTTCATTAGTGGAGCAGGACATCAGCTTTTTTGATACAACTAATACAGGTATTTAGCTATGCTATGTTGTAAAATCCAGAAGTTCATTAGAGAGCTGTTGAACTAGAGATTTATTTAGAAAATTATTAAACTTACTACTTCTATCAGATCACAAGCTTTACTTGAATATATTACATTTTGAAATTTGTCAGGTGAGATAACATCACGTTTAACAACTGATTGTGAAACGATGTCTTCAACAGTATCTACCAATTTGAATGTTTTCCTTCGAAACATTGTCATGCTGCTTGGTTCGCTGGCGTTCATGTCTACTCTTTCATGGCGCCTTTCTTTGGTTACTTTCATTATTGTACCGGTCGTTGGTTTTGTGACCAAAGTCTATGGTTCATATTACGATGTAAGCTTGAAAATTTCAATGCTTTCATAATGATCTGTTTTAAATTAAATTTGATTAATTTGCAAACCGATTTCGGCCAGTATTACGCAGTTAGGTTATCCATTTCCAAAACCTTTTAATTATTAAAATGTATATTATTCGGATTAGGTCAACTGCAGACAGAATCAGGGCGTCCCTTTAAAAGATATTTACGATGTCAGTCGTAAAGTCTTTTATTACATCTATTTTGTGTTTTCATTTGAACTTCCTAATTTTTAATCAGTGAATACATTTCTGTAGTAGGTATTATTTTTACTCTGTTATCTCATTCATTTTTGTGGTTATCATTTCTCACTTTTTTACAGCAACTAACAGAAAAAACTCAAGAAAGAATAGCAGTATCGAATCATGTAGCAGAACAAGTGATTAGTACTATGCGAACAGTGCGATCTTTCGCTTGCGAAAAGCGCGAAGCCAAGAAATTCCTGCAACATTTGGATGAGATACTACATTTAAATAAGAAAAAAGCATTAGCCTATATGGGTTATATGTGGACTACCGAATTATGTGATAATGCTATTCTAATTGTTGTGTTGTTCTACGGTGGTCATCTTGTTTTATCAGGTGATTTTTTCCGTCTCAATTCATTCGAGAATACTGACTTTGATTATTATTCTATTCGAATGGATTTAGTATTTGAAAATCTAAGAATTGCAATTCGCTGATTGTTTCCACTTCATTTCGAATTCATAACAGTCTTTTGTTACAGGAAAAATGACAGTTGGTAATTTGATATCTTTCTTATTGTATCAAATGCAACTTGGAGAGAATCTCTATGTAAGTTTTCATTAATTCTCGAGTGATTTAGATAAATGTTCTATTCCTAATTCATTTCAATCACAAGATCTTTCTCATTCCTACATTCACCGAATGCTTTTAGTAAGAAATGTTATTTCAATCTTCCAGAAGTGTTCATGTTGTCAGTTTCGAACTTTTCTGTTTAGTATTTCAACGAAACTATCTAGTTGATGGTTAATAGAAAATAGAAAAAGCTTCACTGTTATTTTATTACCATCTCATTTTTTTACTGTTATGTAATCAGACATTTTTTTTGCTATGTTTTACCTTTTTTTTAGACCTTTTTCTTGCAAAATTATTAGGAACTTTTATTTGCAACTGAGTTGATTTTCTTCTCAAAGGTCATTGCCTCCATTTTAAGTATATCTCGAAAACTCAAATTCCATGTCTATGAGATTTAAACTTCGTATTTCCCTAGCTCTCTGTTGGAATTTTTCAGAACATCAGTTATGTATTTACGGGTTTAATGGAAAGTGTTGGTGCATCAAGAAAAGTTTTCGAATATATGGTCCGTAAACCAAAAATTCTTCATGTTGGGATGAAGAAGACGCCAATTAATGGAGAAGTTAAATTTGATTCTGTATCTTTCACGTATGCTTCCCGACCGAACAATCCTGTCTTACAGGTTTCTTCTGTTCTACATTTTTTATATTTCTAATGGCAAAGATATGTCAGAAGTGATCGTACTGTTAAGATTTCTATTTCATAATTTGTATTTTCATATTCGGTGACAGATTATGAGGAGAATTCAGCAGTAGTGGTCATTTTATTGTATTCTAGGAATGAATTATGAGTTATTTTATTCCTAAATTTGTATTTGAAATTCAGTTTATTATAGGATGTCAGTTTCACCGTTCATCCAGGTCAGACTGTTGCTTTGGTTGGACCAAGTGGTGGTGGAAAATCATCTATTGTATCTTTGATTGAGCATTTTTACGAATGTGATAAGGGCTGCGTGCTTATTGATGGAAATCCAGTGGCAGAGTATGATCATGAGTACATTCATCAAAAAGTAAATTTGTTGCTTCAGTTTTGCTTTGGACATAAGTTTTCACTGAAAATGAAAATGATTCAAGAGAAACAGAGATTGTTCATAAATATATGTATATCGATAAACTCGTTAAATAATTTTAAGAAAAGTATGTTTTTAATATAACATTCTTTAGGAGTTAAGATTCGAGAAGTTTTTCCAGATAGCCCTAGTTGCTCAAGATCCAATATTATATGACGGTACAGTGCGAGATAATATTATATACGGTTGTGATTGGGCTACCGAGGAAGATGTATTAAATGCTGCTAAAATAGCTAATGCACATAATTTCATCATGGAAACTGAGAAGCAATATGAGACAAACTGTGGCGAGAAGGGTATTCAACTATCAGGTGATTTACTTAAAAATGATGTCTTGTTGCTATGGCATCATTTAGAAAATGAGAGCTGTGATAGTTGTAATAACTACTAGTTTAGACTTTGTTATTCAATGGCAAAAAGATTTGCCAATATAAATTATGTGGGATCGTTTTCTCCGTTTTTTATCTCAACATTCCTATATATTGACAATCAATTTATTGCCTCTTCAAATATTTCATTTTTTGCAATAAATTTAAGTTTTCGAATTTATCAAGCATTCAGTTCAAAAGATGGTGTAAACTAGTTATGAGATCAAAAAGAAGGAGGAAAAATGGTCTTCTTTTCATTAAGTTTATCAATATTTTTTGTTGCACCCATATTTTCAGGCGGTCAGAAGCAACGTATAGCAATAGCACGAGCAGTGGTCCGTCATCCCGCGATCCTGATATTAGATGAGGCAACTTCAGCTTTGGATGCAGAAAATGAACACATCATACAAGATGCTATAGCGCAATGTTCAAAAAATAAAACAGTTATCGTGATAGCACATCGCTTAAGTACAGTTGAAAATGCTGATCAGATTATTGTCATTAGTAAAGGACAAGTCGTACAGGTTAATTCGAAATTTTTTGATTAACTAAAATAATTTATTAGAAGATTTTTATTCATATATAAAATTCGGAAAAGGTTTGAAATCCTTGTTTTGAGTTAGAAAAATCTAATTGAATTAATTCGAACGTTACAAAATTCGCAGAATTCCAAGTCGAAAAAAGGCTGCCATTTATTGAAATTTATTTTTTAATAGCAAACATGACAATACAATTTTCGTCTTGTTTAAGGCATCTTGAAATATGTATGGCATGCCTCGATTTTAATTTACACATTGCTGTGTATTACATAAGTTGTGATTATATGGTACATTGGCCACTATTTATTAAAGTAATGACTAATCTACCATATAATCACATTTCGCATTTCACATTTCACCGTTGTTTCAGCAAGGCCGACATGAAGATTTATTGGAACAGGATGGTATTTATCGAGCTTTAGTACATCGACAACTTCTTGGACATAATTTAAGCAAAATACATTGATGTGTTCTACGGTCGAAAAACGTTCTTTCGCAAATTTTAGCAAATTTAAGCGTTTTAAGCTTTTGTCTTTATTCTTTGATTTGGATTTTTGCGTGGATTTTAGGTCTCTCTGATTATTAATGTAACAGTATTACTGGAAAATCAAGGAATGAAAATAATTCACATTTCACGTTCTTAAAAAATTCGTCCGGGTTTAGAACATTTCGTTGCAAAAATAAATGTTCAGTAGAGATCTAAAATTATTTTAAATATAATTAATCTTTAAACTCAAAAATCAACTGCCAATTATTCTTTTAAAAAAAATTGAATCAGATGGGAGAAAAATATTTGTTAGTCCCACTCTATGTGATTCTTTTCATTAATTGAACGGCCCTGTAAGCGCTGTTTGTGAAATCATAAACTTTCTGTTTGATTTTTCGTGACGCTATTTTTACCTTGTTTGCAATTATAATGAACTGCTTTTCTCCTTTAGCAAATTAGCTTGGCAAAAGTAATATAAATGATAGAACGGTTAGAACTCTACGCAACTCTCTAACTGATCGATCAAATATCAGGCGTTGCAACGAACCAAATAAATGGTGCATTAAAACTGTGAATTGATTGAGCAATTATTACTTTATATTGTGCCATCAGTAATGTGTACATTTTCTGCTTTGTACGTATGAGAGTAACATAAAATTGTAGTATAAAAATGAAATATACAATCTTTTTTTAACTTCTACGATTTCAGCATTTGAAATATAATGCCATAGAGATCACTATAAAATATCTCATTTTTTTTTAAATAAACCATTAGTTGAACCATATAAATTGTTAGGTTCATATGGTTCAACTAACCGTGTTTTTGGTTTTCTGTTCTTTCTCATTCTCCAAATCCTAAAAACTGTTAGGTGCAAAAGTTCATATCAAACACAAAAATAAAACAACGAAGAAATACGGAAGAAATAGGAATTAAATCTTGACACATAATCTATTAGCGCACTTGTAACTGTATCCTAGTAGAAATTTATTTGGAAATAGAAACAAAAACCTAGCCTTCACTACACCGCAGTGGTTGGCGGTGCAGCAGTGAAGAATTCATTCAGTAGGTCAATATCTTCTTCATTTAACCCTACAGCATTATGAATTACAGGTGGTGAAATAACATTTCCAGGTTTAGCGTACTGCGCAATTTGACTGTGCAGCTTTTCTTGTACTTTGCTGGCAAGATTAAGTTCGTGATTGCCAGGTAGCGGTTGATCGGTTAGGGTTGTTGGTGGAACCGAATTAAGTCGATTTTTTTGCAGCAATGCTAGATCACTGATCATTACACCAGTTTTACTCAACGTAGCCTTAAAAAGGAAAAATCAGTGAAAGCAATTCTAATTCTAAAGGAATTCAACAAAAAAAAGCTTCTTATAGAAGAAAAAATGTGTAAAATAAGGACTAATCAATCAATTGCTCCTTGTAAGGTGACAGATAATACTGTAAATGTATTGCAGAATAAAAAAGAGGATTGTAATTAGATGTCAGTGCGATTGGATTCCATTAGATATGATTGCATATCCAGACAGAATATATAAAATCTAAAGGATGGTCACTTTTTTGGAAAAAAAATCAATCACCTTCTTTTTTCCAGAACAGGCACGAATTTTGGCTCACTTATACACAATCTTTGTTGAATCAACAATTTCTTAGAAAAAATCTCACAACGTAAAAAAATACCTGATGAGTTTCCGGTACCATTTGTAATTTGTATAATTTCCGTATGTCACTGATGAATGAAACATCAACCCCAATATTTTCAAGTGACTCAATATCACTTAACAATTTGTTCAAATCGATTTTATCCATTTCATTTTTGAACTGAGAAACCTATTAAATCATTAATATTAAAAATCAAGAAAGCGCCAATACTTTTCACTATTTTACAGTTCCTTTGTTCTCAGGAAAACTGAATAATGTTCGCAAAAGAAATTTCAAAG